ACTGAATAGAATAGATCAATTCAGAGTTAAGGATTAGAGTCTGACTTTGTGAAACGCACCCCTGGGAGTTTACTGACGCGGTATTAATCTTTCTGTGCAGAATGTGATGTTCCTGGGAGATTTCCATGCCGGCTGCGCTTACGTCACTCGCAACGACAGGAAGAACATCCGACTCTTCACCAACACCAGCTTCACGTGGTTGATAGGAGACCGAGAAGACACCACCGTCACCGAGAAGACCGACTGTGCATACGACAGGTTGGCGTTGCCTGCAGAGCTTCTCCAGATCAAAGTGAGCCCTCTAACCTGATGTTCTCCTTCCACCCCGGTAGGATCGTGGTTTATGGAGAACCCTTCCTGATGGCAACAAGGCCACAGTCTGGACGAGTCTTCAATTTCGGCAAAGAGTTTAAGATCAATCGGAATAGGGTGAGACTGCTGACCCAGGGAAGGAAACAGACACCTGGCGGCTCCTGAGGCAGACCCCCGGGAGGCTCCCTGGGCGGACCCCCGGGTGGCTCCCCGGTCGGACCCCCCGGGAAGCTCCCCGGGCGGACCCCCGGGTGGCTCCCTGGGCGGACCCCCGGGTGGCTCCCTGGGCGGACCCCCGGGTGGCTCCCTGGTCGGATCCCCGGGAAGCTCCTCAGGCAGACACCCGGGAGGCTCTCCGGGCGGACACCCGGGAGGCTCTCCGGGCGGACACCCGGGAGGCTCTCCGGGCGGACACCCGGGAGGCTCTCCGGGCGGACCCCCTGGAGGCTCTCCGGGCAGACCCAGGTCTGCTTAGCTGACCAGCAGAGGGCGGCTTTCTGCTCAAGTAGAGGCTGAATGTGGGCCGTCCTCTGTCCATGATGGGCAGAGATCTAGCAGATAGAAGCTAACCCTGCTCTGAACAGAACCTGCCAGCTCTGGTCCTTGATGTTGTCTAAGTTGTGAGGCGGGAAGCCGCAGGATAAAGGACTCTCAGCTGCTCTCTGCTTACTTTTATTTTGGGCAAATTGAGAGCAAAGCTTTGAGGGTTTTATTGAAAATGCTGTCAATCATCTGATAAACTGTTTAACTCTGGGTTCTGTTGCTTCTGTCTGCAGGTGCTGGATGTTAGCGACCACTTTCCAGTGGAGGTGAGATTGAAAGGCTCCGCCTTCTTCCTTCAGGCCACGCCCCTGCTGATCCTCCTCGGTGTCTCTGCAGTCATCCAGTTCTTCGTTGCCGCTCTGTGATCGTCTGTTTCTGTCTTCTCCTGGATTTTAATGAAGCAGTTTATTAATCTGTGATAA